TGGGTAGGGAACTCAAATGACCGATTCGCGACAGGCTCCTAGAACCATCCGTCGAGGAGCGTTCTCGTTCCAATCACTACGGTTTTCTGTGCTAAGTGTTAAGCGCTGATACACATGACATATCCCAAAAAGGATGAACAAGTGGAAGAGAACACTCCAGGATGGCTGGCATAAAACTCTGTCTGAGGTTTGGCTGAGCACAGAGAGATGGGTTGCTTTTGAACAACATTTTGGGATGGTGTACAGTTTGTGTCAGCCTGACCCTAATGTGAGTCCCTATTTTCTGTTGAACAACTAGTGAGACACATCACAAATTTTATATACAGAACTGTTACAATTGGTTTATGGACAGTGTAGATTAGTATATCTAATCCTATCTAGTATAAATCTAGACATATGATCATTATCTGATAGACCAGATATAATTATGAGTCTAGTGTTAAGGGACCTGGAACAACAAGGGATCAGGAGTTCTACTTGTACTGGGCTGAGTGTCCTGAGACTAGTGACACTTAAGTTCTATAGGACTTGTACTATGGTTTGTCCAACTTGGCTGAGCTTCTCTTAGCAGGAGAAGTTTAAGAGCACACACTGATTTAAGCAGTCAAGAGAACACCTAGGTTCTATTGAGTGTCCCTATAAGGTATCATAGGAATAGGAGGACAAAACTAAGGTACAATGATGTAGTAGCTACATCTTAAATAGAAAAGGATATTAGAAATGTGTCACAGTTTTCTTAATAATATTCCAGAATAGGTGTGCACCTATCTTATCTTATCAGATAATGATTAGATACAGATCAGATGCCAGCCAGAGTATACTCGGAATAGTAGAGAACCAGCTAGAAGGTTCCAGGACAAGGTTGTCAATCAGGTGACAGCTCACTAAGCAGTTCTACTCAGCATTGCTTAGTGGTCACGACCCACACGTCACCTGATGTTTTAGTCAGACTCCAGCTCGGGGATTCATCATCACCACCAGTTAGTAAGATGGTCAGTAGGTGTTAAGCGACCTAACGACTGAGGATCAGGAGTTCAACTGTTAACTGGTACTAGGACTTATACACGCTATAGTCCTACTGATACTAGAGTTTGTATACTGAGCTGCTATATCTGATAGTGGGTTGAGAGCATATACTGGTTGAAGCCAAGCTTCAGACTAAGACTGAGACTTGAATAGACAACGGAGTCTATTACTAGAGAACTGTCCCTATAAAGTGTATGTAGGGAACAAGAGGACAAAACTAAAGTACAGTAGCGCAACCAGTGCCGCTTAAATAGAGTAGAGCGAATGGAGTTTAATTAGTATGAAACACTGAGTTGGATCAGTGATGTACATGAAACAGTTTCACTGGGTTGTATCAGTGATGAGGATGAAATGTGATAGAGGTGAAACATGATGTAGGTGAAACATGATATAAGTGAAACGTGATAGATATAAGACACTGATGTAGGTAAAACACATCAAGTGATGGAATCAGTTGTATAGTACAGGGTCAACAATGAATAGTTAGGAAGAGAAAAGGAACCCCCCTCTGATGCTGTAACATTACCCCCCTCTCCAGATTTGTTGTTCAGAGTTTCCATTGTGCATGGCACTCTTGTAGGTATCCAGGTTTATCAGTGGGACAAGGGAGTTGTCCAGGCTGAACATCAGCAGTGGTGTGGAATTTATAACGAGGATGTAGGAGTCCACAATAAGAGCATAACCAATGCCAATACTCACTCCGAAGATGACCATCGACCTCATATTTGGTACAGAAGCGAAGACAGTGAGGCATGGCACCAGAAGAAGGAGTGATAATAGAGAACTCATAGCGTTCAAGTTGTTCCTCCAAATTGGTGGCCTTGAGACGTGTGCAACATTAACTCATCTCCTCTTCTATATGAAGGAGTTCAGCCCCTATAGATCATTGTGCTGCTAAGAGTAGATCAATCTTTGCATCAACACCCCTGAAACGATCTGTTAAGGGTCCTAACGACTGAGGATCAGGAGTTCAACTGTTTAACTGTTACTAGGACTTATACACGTATATGTCCTACACTGAGACTAGACTTGCAAACTGAGCCACTATAGTTGATAGTGGTTTGAGAATGTATACTGGTTGAAGCAATGCTTCAGACTGAACTGGAATAGACAACTGAG